TCTAATACATCTAACATAAAAATCTTAAATCAAAAACCCTAGAATTTTCCCTGACGGAGCACTGCTCTCAGACTGCAGGTTTACTTCTGGTTCCTATAGTTTCTAAAGGTTTGTAAAACCTCTTTTTGTAATAACAACGCATTATGTAATAATGTAATAAAATCAGACATCAAAATGTAATAAATTTGCGCTAAAACCTCATTATGTAACAATTGACGCAAAATTTAATGAAAGTCATCAACGCATTATGTAATACTCTCAGCCGCGTTATGTAATAACATTATTATATTTTGCGGCAATTGTTACCGAATGTGGTGGTGTAATAATCTGGCACAACATGTGATAAACAATCAAAAACAAGAACTTCAGCTCATCCTAATCAATATATTTGTAATAACTGTCATGTTGAAAATACTAAACATTTAAATCTTTATAACTTTGGTCAATAAACACTAGGGTTGGGCATAATCGTATCGTGTGTGATTTATCGTCAGAAAAACATTAATCGATTAATTMTTGGCACTTGACAATTAATACGATTAATGCCAACAGGTAGAATCCGCTCGCTGCTCCTCTCAGCTTCAAATATGACGAACATTAAAAAAAGTTCTGTAACTTATTTATCTATCAACACAATTTAAAATTTGATATAAAGCCTGAAGTCTGTAATTTTGACACAATTTGGAACAGATTTTTATGAAGAGCAAATCTTTCCCACTAAATTGGTCATGTGACTAGGATATAAGGGTGTCCAGGGACTCCAGGGGATTAATCGTCAAATTAATCGTTATCGGCTAAATACCACAATTAATCGTGATTTATTTTTTTGCCAATATTGCCCAACCCTAATAAACACAGAACTTCTCATTATRTATTTGCATTTTCAGATTTACTGTCCTGATCCCTGTTACAGAAATTATTCCACTTTGTGGTCAACTCTGAAAATATATCTAAAAGTTGTACATACATGTCAACCCCTTTAGATGTTTACCTGTACAATGAGCCTTAAAAATAGGTCATTTTTGTAAAAACAATCTGTATTAATCACACGCAGGGGGGTTGGAGGGTACAGGTGGACCCTCAGCCGTGGAGGGGAGGGAGGCATGGTGCAGGCGGACTGTCGACTTCTGTATCAGAAGTAAATGAGGGCGGAAGAAGTTGTTTCTAGCCATAGAGTGGGTTGGAAGTGGATARTTGATGTTAGTAATTGTTTTTAACTTCCTACAGGCCCTGAAATMTTGAATAAATTAGAAACTAAGCTTTCGAAAGATTCCATAAAACATGAAAAAAAAAATCAGTGAGATTGCTCTATACATCCCTATACCTGCAAAACGTCATAAAATCCGTGTAAATTACAGACAATCCTTACAACTTGACATGGTTGTATCTAACATTTTTGACATGACATCTAAATAAAGAACAGAAATACTGGTTTTTAATTGTTTATTACATAATGCACCAGATTATTACACCACCACATTTGGTAAAAATTGCCGCAAAATGTAATAACATTATTACATAATGTGGCTGAGAGTATTACAAAATGCATTGAAGACTTTTATCACATTTTGCATCAATTATTACGTGATGCGGTTTTAGCGCGAGTTTATTACATTTTGAAGCCTGGTTTTATTACATTATTACATAATGCGTTGTTATTACAAACTGAGGTTTCTTTTGTGGAACAAACTTGCAGCTTCAGTCTACTTTTAAGACTTTGCTTTTTGATAAATCCTATAGTTAGGGTTGGCTTGAGATTCCTGAGCTATCCCTTAGTTATGGTGCTATAGGCGACACAACGATGGTCTTGTTTTATTAGCCGTTTTCTAGTGTAGCTTTCAGTTCTGTCAAGCAAAACACGATGCTCTACACATTTTGACCATTATTGTTACGTATAACCAAATCAAAACTTACTGTTCATTAAAAAACATATTGTTATGAATAGTTCGTCATCTCTTCTTCTGCCTGCTTACATCCTTTCCCTTCTACCCTGTCAGCCACTYAGACTCTGGATCTACGATTTTTGTGTTTTCTTCTGATTTCTTTCTCCTCTGATGCAACTGATCAGAACCTTCTACAACTGACTCAGACTGGAGCTCTGAACACATCTCTGGGATAAACACAGTTCAGTTTTATAGAAATATGAATCTGTCTTATATGAACTTATKAAGTCTTTAGCCTCTCTGTTTCTGATTGAAGTCCACAGATCTTAGGAGTTCTGTGACGCCTTAGAAAACAGGTTTTGGATGTCTGTTTCTACAAATAAATTCACAATTTCTAACTGTGAGCTAAATAACTTCACTGTAATGAGGTTTAGGTGAAAAATGGCCTTTATTTTAACTGACTAGCAGTGTCTACAGGACTGGCTGCCCCAGCAACTTAAAACTCCAAAGTAAAATGCAAAAACAGAAAAACACGGAAACGTGCCAGGAAAAAGCTTCTGCCGTCCAAAAAAGCAAAACAGTAGAACAAAAATATCATTTGTAAAAGGCGCAAATGTGCAGTAAGTGGATCAGTTTAATGAGGGGAAAAAACCTGCAGGTAAATTTTATACATGCAAGACCAGACTGTGTTTAACGCTGGGGGTGTTGAACCATTCAGTCTTAAATTCTTCTCAATGGTAGAGTTCGAAACTCTAAGTGCAGGTGTGTTGCCCAAAGTCAAGTGTGTCATTCTCACTTGTTGTGTTTCTGTTTTTTCGCAAACACAACACCTTCATCAGTTAGAAAATGCACTTTTATAGCACACAGATGCAATCATCTCCCCAAAGACTTCCATCACAGGCAGCTGTATATTTTAACACAGYTATTATACTACAGATCAGAATTAATTTTGGGTTGTTTTCAACAGAAAAAAAAACTAAATGAAAAAAAAAATCAAGCTTCCAATAGGTGCAGCTGCCAAAAAGTTCCACAAAGTGGAGACGGCAACAATAACAAGCTCAAGGACGCTCTTTTATTTCTTTCCCTTTCCTTTTCTTTGGCACACAAGTCCCATCACTTCACGCTAGTGCTGTACCAAACGATCATTTTCTAATCGATTAATCTAACGATTATTTTTTTCGATTAATCGATTATTCTAACAACAAATCTAAAAGTTATTCTGARGHGAGRGCWCTGGATATTTAAAATGTTTTCATCAAATTAACAAGAACAGTTCTTTAATATT